GAAGTGCGAGGTTGTCGCAGCACATGGGCGCCCTAACATTTTGCCGATGGCACGAGCGTTAAACGGATGGACGAGGTAAAATACCTGGGATGCCGCCTGAACGAAAAATGCGACAGCACGAGGGAAGTACAAGCGAGAATGTGAGCATGCATGGCAACGCTGAAGAAAATGGACCTGTTCTGGAGACACAGCAGCTGCAACGCCAAATTCAAATTGCAAGTGCAAGACGCAGTCATCAAATCTAAGCTCCTGTACGGCCTCGAATCAGCCCAGCTCACTCAGGGCACATTGAATCGACTCGACGCCTTTCAGCTCAAAGGACTCAGAAAAATCCTTAAATTGGAAACGACATATGTCAATAGAGCCAACACGAATGAAAGAGTTTACCAAGCGGCCGAAGACGCCCTCCGACAGGGAGGACGAGAACACAAGCCTATCGTCAAGTTCAGCGCAGCGTACGCCAGGAACAAACTGCTACTATACCAAGCCATCGTTCGAGCTGAACCCAATCACCCTGCACATGGGGTTACATTTGATCCCGTCACATTGCAACCCAGGCAGTGGACACGCAGGAGGGTAGGCCGTCCCCGGCTGAATTGGGCGGAGCAAACAACAGCATAATATTGGAAAGCTATCCGGAGTTCGTTGCCGCCAGCTCTCCGTTTCGCAGAGGTCGATACCACGAACCCCTCTCACACTCAAGCTATCCGTGATGCCGCCCAGAGACGGCTAATTACTTGATCGTCGTCATCACCCCGCTGTCATTGGTCCTTTCTCCCACCTTCGCCTCCCCCCCCTCCCCTCCCCTTCTCCCCTCTCCCCCCCTTGCCCCGCCAGTGTTCGAAGGAAGGAAAGTAACGACGCAGACATCAGCACGCTCCGCCACGCATGTGCCGTGGCAGCTACACCGTTGGGGGCGGAGGCGCGGTGTTCGCGCAGCGCACCAGCAAAAAAACTACTAATACGAATACCACACTATTACCATGACTACTACTACCACTACTACTACCACTACTACTACTACTACTACTACTACTACTACTACTACTACTACTACTACTACTACTACTACTACTAACTACTACTACTACTACTACTACTACTATGGACTACTACTACTACTACTACTACTAACTACTATACTACTACTACTACTATTCCATACTACTACTACTAACTACTGGATCTACTTAGCCACTTACTACTACTTAATACTACTTACTTCTTCTATTACTACTACGACTACTACTACTACTACTACTACTATTACGACCTACCTACCAACCTACTACTACTAACGTACTACTACTGGTTTACTACTACTACTACTACTACGATTACTAAACTACTAACTACTACTACTACTACTACTATTACTACTACAACTAACTAACTACTTCTACTACTCACTACTACTACTACTTCTACTTCTACTTCTACTACTACTAACTACTACTACTACTACTACTACTACTGTGGACCACGGCTAACTACGCCGACCTACGACTATTATTACTAATTCTACTACTATTAACATGCTTGCAACCTACTGAACAATAGCGCCCCACGCGACTGACTACTCTACCCATCGTCTCTACTTCTTTTTCTTCGACTACTACTACTACTACTACTATTACGATGGCTACTTCTTATTATCCTTATACTACTACGTCTGCTGCTACTACTACTACTACTACTACTACTACTACTACGACTACTACTACTACTACTACTACCACTACTACTACTACTACTACTACTACTACTACTACTACTACTACTACTACTGCTACTACTACTACTACTACTGCTACTACTACTGCTCTGATTACGATGGCTATCATAATCATTACCACCTCCACCACTACCTCTCGCCGCTAGCAGCCCAGAGACGGGTCGGCTCTCTCGGTGACAGCGTGCGGCCGCCCCGCGTCGCTGGATGGCAGATGTTTGGTTGTTTAAATATGTGTGTCGTCCGTCGCACTCGTATAACGAGCTTATTACACGCCTTTGGCAGCGAGCACGAGCGAACGACTGGAAGAATTCATCGCCGAGATTACATTCAAGGATTTTGATCGTCACGCGCAAATTGGGACGGGTGGTCCGAGGCAACACACATGATGTGGCTCCCCTGTCCACATACGCATTCAGTTTGGGAGGAGAAGGGCACATGTGTTACAAAAGCTTGGGATGCCAGCGTATCACTGGCCCGCCCGATCCCTGTGACGGCTACCTGATCCAATTTTACACCACCAGGGCAGATGCATGTCATAATGGTCGGAATCAGGCTAACCATGTGCGGCTACGATTTGCTTGATGGCACCCACGCTACCAGAATGACGGGGCACTGGGCGCCAATATAAACGAATGGGCGGTGGGGGAATGCGACAATCTGACCGCCTTTAGTCGATGTTTTGTGCCTCCTCCTCCTCGTCCTCCTCCTCCTCCTTCAATCGCTTCTCGTCCTCCATTGTGCGTGTTTTGTTCACTTGCTCCTCCTCCTCCTCATCCTCCTCCTCCCTCCTCAGCCTCCTCCTCCTCTCCCTTCCTTCCTCAACTCTTCCCTCTCGGTGCTCCGCTCTCCCTCCTCCTCCTCCCCCTCTTAGTGTCCCCCCATCCACCTCTCCTCCCCTGCCTCCTCCGTTCCATACCTCCTCCTCCTCCTCCTCCTCCTCCTCCTTCTCCTCCTCCTCTCCGCACAGCGTCCCCCTTGATTTCCGGGGCCACCCCCATGGGCGCGAAGAGAACCGCGCGCGTCGCGGTCTGGGCCAGGGCGGCTGCACTACTCCAGGCAGGGCGGCGCGAGGGCGCGAAGCTTTCGGTGACCGGTGACCTCGGATCCTGTCCTTCCTCGCCGTCTGCCCTCATCCCCCACCCCCCCACACCGCCGCCTCGGTTGTCAGGACCTCACACTCGAGCTCCCTCGTGGCCCCCTCGTATGAGCAGCGCATGTTAGCGTTGTGTGAAAGGATCCGAATATAAGAGCAGGCCAAGTCGGCCCGCTCCCTTTTAGGGTCCCAGTTTTGTTCTGACGTTTCGTGCATCTTTAGCGCGATGCACTCCCCTTCGGGTCTTCCGTTCCGTTCCGTCCTCGCCCCTCCGCCCTCCTCCCTCGCCGCCCTCCCCGTGTTGCTATCGCGCGAGCATGCTGGCCGGCCAGACGGGTGCGGCAGCGACCCCTGCCGACGCTGAGGGAGCGAGCGCCGGCCTCCCCCCGTCCCTCAGGGCCACCTCCTCCTCCCCCTCCTCCTCCTCCCTCCTCCTCCCTCCTCCTCCTCCTCCTCCATCCTAGGGTATTTAGTCCTCCTCCTCCGTCCTACCTGCCTCCCTCCCCTCACCCCTCCGCTCGCCGCGCTCGCCTCCTCCTCTGCTCCTCCTCTCCCCCTCCTCCTCCCTCCTCCTCCTCCTCCTCCTCCTCCTCCTCCTCCTCTCCTCCTCCTCCTCCCTCCTCCTCCTCCTGCCCCTCCCTCCCTCCCTCCCTCCCTCCCTCCCTCCCTCCCTCCCTCCCTCCTCCTCCTCCTGCGGCCCTGGACGCCCGAAGTGGGTGCGGACAGAAGGGGCACAATGCCCAACAGCAAGCAGTGGCGAAGCGTCCTGGCTCGCCTATAGCCCTACCAAACAGCGTTCTGAGAACCTTTCGTGGCTTCCACGAAGTATCCTTAGAGCATTTCTGGCGGAGATTGTATTGTTTTATCACATCGGGTTTATGTTCTGAGAACATTGTTTTTGTTCTTAGAACATTTTGGGGTTCTAAGAACACTTCGTGGTAGGACTATAGGAATGCCGGGACGGTCGGTCCCTGCTCAACAACAGCAGTTCCTGTTCATTTTGAACAGGACTCGCTGTTCGGGGGCGGCAAAGAGGGGGGTGATGACTAGGGAGGGGGATATCATGGCGGGGGCCATGACATTTCCCCAGATTCCATGGCGCCTCTTCTTATTTCATTACGTATCTGGCCCCTCCGCTGGGCCGCGCACATGCCGCCGGTCATGATTTGCACCCCCCCCTCTTGGACCCCCCCCCTCTTTGACCGCTCCCGAGCTGTCCACGCCGCCGCGGCCTGTGCCCACTCGAGACAGAAGGCCGCCTGCCCAACAGCGGCCGCGGTTGGTCTGGGGCAACACTTGTCGTTTCGGGGAAGCGTAAGACTCGAGTAAGCCGGAACTCGGGTTTGCCGACATTTTTTGACGAGCGCGTCTTGGATCTTGACGGTCCAGTTTTCGTGGGATGTCTGCAGCGGGAGCTCGCGTCAAATTTCAGATTGGGCCTCGTCATTTTTATGGTGGCCCCGTCGGGCCAACCCGAGTCCCCCGTACCCGAGTCTTACGTCTCCCCGATCGTTGGGCACTGTGCGCAGTCTTTCCCTGCCCATCTCGGGCGTCCCGAGCGGCCGCCTCCGCCCGCCCCTCCTCCGCCCCTCTCTCCTCCTCGGGGGGGGATATCACAGCACATTTGGGTTGTGGTTTGGAACTTGCGGAGGAACATGGGAATTTTGGCAGTCGCTGGAGAACGACTTCATTGGCTACTCCAACACGTTCTAACTACCACGGGTCCCCGGCACGCCCGCGACGGCCCCCGGGGCCCCGCCAGCCACGTGGCGTGCACCAGCGCGCCTCGCCTCGCCTCGCTCGCCTCGCCTCCTCCTCACTCCTCTCACTCCTCTTCCATCCTCCTCCTACTCCTCCTCCTCCTACTCCATCCCCCTTCCTCCCCACCCTCTCCCCATCCTCCCCCTCCTCCCCCTCCTCCCCCTCCCACCTTCCCCTCCTCTCCCCCTCCTCCTCCTCCTCCTTCCTCTCCTACCTCATCCTCCTCCTCTCCTCACGTGCACCTCTCCCTCCTCCCTCCTCCTCCTCCTCCTCCTCCTCCTCCTCATTCCTCCTCCCCTCCTCCCCCCTCCTCCCCCTCCTCCTCCTCCTCCTCCCCCTCCTCCCCGGGCACTGTGCGCAGTCTCTCCGTGCCCATCTCGGGCGTCCCGAGCGGCCGCCTCCGCCGGCCCCAGGGCGGCGCCAAGTGGGCCAGCGGCACGGGCCGGCGCCGGGAGCGCCGCGGCGAGGAGCGCCGGGGGAGCTCTCTCGGGCGCTCTCCTCTCTCTTTCTCGTCGGAGGCGCCGGTAGGGGGCGGGTAGCAGGAGGGAAGGAAGCCCCCGACACAACGAATCGTCGATCCCCCAGAAAATATGGGAAAGTATGGGAAGTGGGGGGAAGGACAATCTCTTCGGAGGCGCCGGTAGGGCGCGGGTAGCAGGAGGGAAGGAAGCACACAGACACAACGAAGCGTCGATCCCCCAGCAAATGTGGGAAGATATGGGAAGGGGGGGGGGGGAGGACAGAAACCCAGGAGATCTGGGGAACTATGGGGAGTCCTGTTATCTGTGTGTGTGTTTATTTGTGTGTCCCAGGGACCCTTCAGGATGGCCTGTCGTGCGGGCATTGCTCGCATGCGCCCAGGAGCCGTGCCGAAGGTATGGCCAATTGGCGTCCCGGGATACAGGTACTGCTCTCCTCTGAGCTATTCGCCCCCCATCGTGGCCCCCGACTCTCTTTCGTATGGCACGAAGAACCAGGTCATGATGGTTGCTCACCGTTTTCGGGTCCAGGGGGTGCCCGGATACGGTTCGAAATGGAAAGCTGGTCCCAGGGGGAATCTTGGGTTCAGCGCTTCCGGGTTCGGCCACAAGGGTACACAGGAAGTGCCGCAAACGGCAGACGAATCTGGCGGCGAAGACGGTATGGGATGCGATTTCCCCCTTCACTATCTCAGGTCATACCGTATCATATGTTATCATATTTCTTTGCCGCCCTCCGATTCTTCGTCCGTATCCCACCCCCTCCTGTCCTCCGTCGCTCTCTCCCCATGTGGTTATCATCCTTGTCTCCTTGCCCTCTTCTATTCCTCACTCGCTCCCTCCGTGCCTCTGTGTATGCTTCTCTTACTCGTTTCTCCTTCCTCGTCCTCCCACTGCATTATTCCTCCTCCCTTCGCTCCAATGGAGTCATTTTAGTATTAAGTGTTCCGCTCCCCACAAGCCCATCCAGCGGCCAGTGTATAATTCACGCTAAGCGAGGCCTAGTGTGAAATGGCCTTTCCTTGGTCGGGTGCGGTCTACCATTTGTGCGGATCTGTTCTTGCCGCTCTTGTCCGATACGGGGCTTGGTCCCATCTGACTGCGGATATTTGGACGGAGCCCTCCCCGTCTCTTCCAATTTCCGCAAAGGCCTTGTGTGCACCATACCGCATTGGCGTTTCCCGAAGCGTCGTCGGTCCTCGACCAAGGAAGGACACTTGGCCAGCCTCAGCTATCTGCTCAGCCTTCGGATAACCCAGCATCCGCTGCATGCGGCCATGGCCGCCCTGTCCCTGCGGAGCCCACTGAGCCCAGACACTTGCTCACGACTGGGAGAGGAAGAAGAGGAGAGAGCTTCGCAGACGCTACGATCATAGCCATCGAAGTCCGCCGCCTCCCCCCCAAAAAATAGAGGACAAGAGGGAACTTCAGGCGCTCCTCGGGCTCCTGGGGTCACTTGGGTGGCGCCCCGAGCCGCCTTGGAGGCACCTCGGGTCGTCTGGGGGTCTCATTGACACCCCTTGGATTCTCTCGAAGGCCTTTGGATCACGCCTCGGCGCCCACGGGGTGAAGAGCACCTTCTAGTCGTACACATCGCCTTGGTGTGGTTTTCCTGAGCGGCCCGTCAGCCCATCCAGCGGCCAGTGTGCGGTCTCAGCTCCGGCACGGTGGGGCGGAGTGCCGCTCGTGCCGACCTGGGCGCCGTTGGATGCGGGAGCTGAGCCCACGGAGCTCGGGGTGCGCATTGGCGGACTGGCGAGAGCCCCACGGGTGAGGTCGCCGCTGCCCCGTCGTGGGAGTCCTCGTGCTCCTCGTACGCTCCTGTCTCCTGTGCGCGCTTCCTCCGCGTCGTTGGCTCGCTGATGGCCCCCCATGCCGCCCATGTGTCCGCAGTCAGCGGCAGGGCAGGCATGCGGACACATCAGTGGCTTGCTCTTCTCGTGTCTGGTCGGCTCTACCATTTTCCTGTTCGGACCTGGTCTAGCCGTCTGTGGTCTTGTCTCGTCTCGTCGATTCTCGTGTTCTCGCCTGCTATGGTATGATATCAAGCTTAGCAGGTTGATAAAGATAGGTAACATTCCAAGGATACCCTTGCATCCTTGCCTCTCGGCCCGTCCTAAGCCTCAGCCATGGGCCTTGGGCTTCCATCTTCGGCATCAATTTGGGCGTCCAAGGGCCGTGCATCCTTACCGTGCGTCCTTCTGATCCGGCTTCACTGTGCTATCGAAGACGCCTACAGCGAATCATGCCATTGTGGAACCGCCGAGCGCGAACCACTGAATGGCCGATCATGACCGATCACTGCTGTCAAAATCGCCCGGCGGCTGTTGAACTCCAGTTCCCCGAAGCGTTGCCGTTGCGGGGACGACCAGGGGCCGGACAGCAGGGAGGTAATCCAGGCAGCCTGCGCGATGCATGACGAAAAGGTCCGCTACTATGTTGCACTGGCACCCCGACGCCGGATCTGCAGGCGACCGTCGGGCGAATCCAGAAAGCGTACTTCCAGAACTCGCGGCTCCTGACGAATCAGCGTGTCGCATTTGGGCACAGGGTGCGTCTCTTCGACAACACGACAGTCGGCATCATCAGATCAAGAGTTGCCTCCTGGGGCTCTTTGAACCATGTTTGAGCCATCCTTGACAAATGCCGAAACAGATTACTCGTTTGGATGATGCGCCTGCGGGCAAGGCCCAGGGAGTCAGCAGACCAGTTCGTCCTGCGCAGGGCCAGGGCTGTCTGCAGCGCAAAGGACATCCAGTGGTCGAGAGTATACGTGAACTGGTTGTTGAGTTCGGCGTCGCACGTACAACGACATCCAGGATGTGCGGCATTCTTTCCCATCACATGCCAACGCAGATATTGGGTCGAAGATGGCAGACAGTACGACTTCGACATCGTTCGAGGGCTGGACTACACGATTTCGCACCCGTGCTGCCCTCGGCAGGGTTGTTCGAATCAACCAGACGGGATGGCTCGAGAAATACGGCCTAAATGGTGGAAGCAACTCAACGATACGTTGGGAACATGCTGGGCAGATGCTGGTATCATTGGGCATCAAGGTGAACACGTCGAGAAGTATCCGTACTTTGTTTCACATCGTAGCCAGGCGGTTGGTCACCACGCTTCGAGAGCGTTCCCTCCTCCTCCTCCTCCTCCTCCTCCTCCAGGCGGCAAGTCCCCAGCTCCGAGGGTTTCTTTCTCGACGGACTTCGTGGGATGCAAGAAGTGCGGCTACCGGTGGACCTACAAGAACAAGCAGTCGTGCTACAGCTGTGGGCAGGCCCTGCGACCATCGTACTCCCCTGCTCCCAAGCCCCGTGGCGTCTGGGCTAGCGGCAGCAGAGGCTGGTGGCAGGACAACCGCAAAGGTCAGGCCGACTGGTACCAGGACGTCGAGGAGACCGCGCAGAGGACCGAGCCGCTCGCGATCGGCGAGGTGGTGCAGACCCTGGGCGGGCAGGCCGTCTCGGAAGCCCAGCGGCAGGCGCTCCAGCAGCTCGAGAGCGCCTTCGCCCCACCGCCCCCTGCAGAGCGCCCCGCGCTCCTGGAGGAAGGCATCCAGCGGGCGGCTGCGGCGGAGAGGGCTGCTCGTCGGGAGCTGGAGAAGCGTGCCAAGCAGCTGGCCGACGCCAAGCTCTGGCTCGACGAGTGCCAGTCTCGCTCCGATGCGGCGGCGGACGCCCTGGTGGTCGCGGAGGACAAGCTGGCGCAGGAGAGGAAGGCGTTGTCGGCTCCAGCCAAGGATCCTCAGCCTGAGGGGTCCAACAAGGGCGGCGGGGTCATCAACCTCTCTGCCCTGCTGGGCGAAGGCGAAGCCAGTTTTGTCATCGAGGACGGCCCCCTCTTCGACCTGGAGGGGCTGGACATCACATCCGAGCAGCGTGAGCAGTTCAACAAGCTCAAGCAGACATTCGAGGCGTCGGTGCAGCAGGCGGTCCGCACGCACTTCGGGCCAGGGGCCGACGTCCTCAAGTCCCAGCGCGAGCAGCTCGAGGAGATCAGGGTGCTCCGCGAGACCTTCAAGACGCGCAGGCGCGAGGACCCTCCTGCGGCTGCGGCGGCAGCAGAGGCGCCAGCGCCCCAGAGCCCTGAGGGAGGCCCGCCGCAGGCGCCTGCCCAGGCCAAGCGCGAGGACCCTCCTGCGGAGGCGGCGGCTGCAGAGGCCCCAGCGGCCCAGAGCCCCGAGGGAGGCCCGCCGCAGGCGCCTGCCCAGGCCTCCCAGGAGGCCCAGCAGGCTGGCCAGCCCGCCGCGGGGCCGCAGGGATCCCAGGGCGCGACGCCAGGCGCTGCCAGCGCTGATGCTGGCCCTGATGCTGGTCGTGAAGCAGCTGGCAAGGAGCTGGCGGACGCCCTGCAGCGCGCCAGGGCTCGCAGGGCGGAGGCAGAGGCCAAGCCAGTGCCGCTTTAGCCCGCGCGGGTTCGGCAGTCTGGCTTCCACGGCTGCAGGTACCAGTACACAATGCTCTACATGGTCGGGGATCTTTTTATTTTTTTTTTATTTTTTTTTTTCTTTTTTTTTTTTTTTTTTTTTTTTTTTGCTTTTTCCTTTTTTTTTTTTTCTTTTTTTTTTTTTTTTTTTTTTTTTTTTAGTTCATTTTCATTTTTGTTTTCTTTTCTTGCTTTTTTTTTTACATTCTTTTTTTTTTTTTTTTTTTCTTTTTCTTTCTTTATCTTTGTTTTTTTTTTTTTTTTTTTCTTTATTTTTTTACTTTTTTTTTTTTTTTTATTTTTTTTTTTTTTTATTTTTTTTTTTCTCTTTTTTTTCATGGCACGAGTCCAGCACGTGGCAGGAGCCAGAGCTCTACAGCGGGTCTCCTCCTGCCGCAGTACCCAGTACATCTTTCTCTACATGGTCAGGCTCTCAGCAGGAGCCACAGGCGGGGCAGGAGCCACACTTCTGCTCGCGATGGTCAAGTTCACCGAAGACTGGCCCCCCACGTCGCCGCGGCAAGGGCGGCGCGCGCAATGTGGGGCTCGAGTTCATAGGCTTCAATTGTTCTTCTTGGGCGCAGGCCATCGATGTTTTGGACGAGGCCGCCACAAGGAAGATCGTTGGCCCCATGCACATCACTTTCCTTCAAGAGCATAAGCTGAGTGCGCCCATTGCCAAGGACATCGAGGCGGCCAGCTTCAACAGGCATTACACGGCAGCATTGGTCCCAGCCGTCAGCGGCCCAGGCGGACGTCCGTCTAGTGAAGTTGGCTTCCTTGTTCCAAGAAATGTTGGCCTCGCGCATCTTGAAGGCATGAATGCGTTTGATATCTCACCGCCTGGGTCGTCTGGCCGCATGGCTGTGGGCTGGTGCTATGCAGGCCAGAAGGGTGGCCTCATGATTATCACGGCATACTTTTGGACACGGGAAGGTTGGACGATTCGTGATTTGTCGATTTTGGAGGCCATTGCAACGGTCATCCAGCAGTATTACATACCTTGGGTATTCCAAGCAGACTTCAACGAGACGGGGGAGTCCTTGCTCAAGACGGGCTGGTGCCAAGATGTGGGTGGAGTTGTGCGTCTCCCTTCTACCGCCACATGTTCAGGAGTCGGCGGTGGCAGTATCATCGATTTCTTTGTGCTCGACGCCCGCATCCAGCATGCCTTCGGAGACACTGTAGAAGTGCTAGACACCGCCGCCTCACCGCACTCGCCTGTTCGCTTAGTCATGCAGCCCAGGATGCGAGCAAAAAGCGGATGGGGGCTTGCCAAGCCCAGGCCTTTCCCAATGGAGAGGCCGTTCGGACCAGTTCCGCAACCTGCACAGTGGCCAGCTTTCGATCATCAGGACGATTTAAATTGCGCCCAACTCGATCAGCTTTGGACGCAGATTTCATACAGTGCTGAAACAGAGCTGGTGAATCTCCTGGGCGTGGAAGAACCTCAATCCTACCTCGGTCGGGGTGATCCTCCTCGGTGGACCTGGGCCCCCCTCGCTGGTCCTCAGTCGCACGCACGCCCCAGGGGAACACCTAGCTCCCGAGCTTGGCGGTGGGTCGCCGCTCGAGCCAGTGATTTTATTTTTCTTGCGCAGGCTGCCCAGCAGGATGGCACCTGGCTGCATGCACGCGCGCGACGAGCGAAGCTCGAGCGTCGCATCGAAGAGGGAAGGGTTCGCCTGGTTCACGACTTGGGGGAGGAGGCTGAGCACGTAATCGCCCAGTTTGAACGATATCGCGCCTTTTGTCTCGAGGGCCCAGCGCTCATGGAGCAGGCCCCTGAGATCATGGGTCTCCAGCGTCGCGCAGTTGGCAACGCTCAGACCATCGAACGGCAGCAGGCAGCCGCACGATCGAAAGAATGGCGTGAACGTTTGAAGAAAGAGTCGGCAGCAGGCTCTTCTTTCATTCATAGGATCAGCAAGTGGCGTACCCCTCCTCCTCCCGTCACGGGTTACTCCGTCTCCAACCTCGAGCTTGCTGATCCTCAGGAAGCGGCCGACAGGGCCGCGCAAGAATGGTTCGACGTTTGGGGCTCCCATGGACAGGAAAGCACGGGTCCCTCGGACCGACCCTGGGAGGCCGCTTTTTTCGCCCATCCGTTGGTTCACCTGGACCGCCAGCAGTTTACCAAAATATGTTTGAGTTTTCCTGCCAGGACGGGAATAGGCTCCGACCACTGGCACCCACGCTGGTGGGCCTGGCTTTCGGACGAAGGCAAAGACTGCCTCATTCAGCTGGTGATGTTTATCTCTCGCACGGCACAGTTCCCTTCGCAGGTAAGGTACATTATATACTTCCTACTTTCCAAGGAGTCGGGAGGCACTCGGCCGATTGGGCTCCTCCCCTCTCTCATGCGTGTGGTAGAACGAGCTCACTCTGGCCTCTTTTACGACTGGGAGCGCTCTGCCAAGCGCAAATGTGACTTCGGGGGCCCTGGGGGGGGCTCCGAAGAGGCCGCGTGGCACCAGATGGTGCACGATGAGGGGACGCGTGAGGGGGAGGTGTCGGTGACGGGAGTGCTGGATCTGTCGCGTGCGTTTGAACATGTTACCATGAATGCTCTGTGGGTGGTTGCCCCTCTTTGCGGTTTCCCTCAGCAGCTAGCCAAGCTTCTTATCAGTATCTACACGTCCACTAGGCTGGTTGCTTTTCGAGGGGTCCTAGCCAAGAAGTCGCTTCAAACTTTCTCGGCCGTCGTGGCTGGGTCGATCGGTGGCGCCAGGGCGCTCAAGATGGTGGTGCTGCAGGTCACCGATGCTATACATCAAGCCTGGGGGGCTCGCCTCCAGATGAAGCTGTTTGTCGATGATCTTAGTATCCAGGTCCGAGGAGCCTGGCAATGTCTCATTGTTCTGCAGGCTGCTGTCACCTTCTATATTCGTGAGATTGAAGGTACCTGGCGCATCCCTGTCTCCCGTGGTGCCCGCGGTAAAGGGTGCATCCTCGTCGCCGCGGCCTCGGCTCGGAATCGCTGCGCTGCCTGGGCCAAGGACTTGGGTCTTGCCATCACCAACACCAGTTCCCAGCTGGGAGTGGATAGCGCTGGAGGCGCCGTGGTTCGCAAAAGGAAGAAAATGCAGAAGCGATTTAAATATGCATGCCAGCGCAAGTCTAAATTAAAAGCCCTCTCGAAGCAAGGGGCCCGCCTCGCCAGGGTTGTCCGCCAAGGTGTGATCCCGTCCGTGACCTACGGGTCTAGCTGTTTAGGAGTCTCGCCTGTTTCCCTGAACAGAATGCGGGTCATGGTCTCGGGCAGCCCTGGCGGTAGTGCGGTTGGTCGAGACAGAGTCCTCCGACTCTGGACGCATCAAGTTGATCCTGTGGTCGAGGGTTCGCAGAAGCCGATTTGCATGTGGGCCTCGCAGGCCTGGAATGGTGTGCATCAGGTAGATATGGCCAGGGCCTGGCGCAGGGAAATGTCTCGCGAAGCGACTAGACGGAGTCAACCGCTAGATCGCCCCTGGAGCCAAGTTCGAGGGCCTGCGTCTGCCTGTAATCTTACGCTGCAGCGGCTGGGCTGGTCCTGGCCTAGCTGGCATACCATTCGCATTCACAGGTGAACTGTTTGATATGCGCCGATCGGCGCCCAGCACGTTGCGCAAGTATATCTATCTTCGTTTGGAGGATCAAGAGCTCACCGACTGGGCCACGCAGCGTGGCATGCCGTTTCGGAAGCCCTTCCTTGAGCCTTGTCGTGCGGCAGTCAGGACAAAAAAGAAGAAGGGCCAGAAGCAGTCGGCAATGCTAGCTTTCCTGTGTGGCGATTTTTGGACGCAAGATAAGGTTTGGAGAGCCGGCCACTCGGAAGATCGAAGCTGCCAAAAATGCGGACACGCCATCGGTAACCAGCACCATAGATTCTGTAAGTGTCCAGCTTTTCAGGAGCAGCACCAGGCTGCAGGTGAATCCTATCCAGATATAATCCACCGTGCCTCCTCCTCGGGCTCCTCCTCCCGCCTCTTCTCCAGGGCACTCGCGCCTCACCCACTGGGGGACCCCTTCCAGGACGTCACGCCCAGCATTGAGACCCTGGACCCCGAGTACGGGGACGATCCCCTTCTCTCGGGCCTGGCCTACTCGGATGGGTCGGGGGTCGGGGTCTCTGGGCTGAAAGCGTTCGGTTGGGGCTTTTGCTTTGTAGATCAGCAGGGTAACGTACGCAAAGCAATGCATGGCACGGTTCCAGGTGTTAGGCAGGCACAGAGTGTGTTTAGGGCAGAATTGTATGGTTTTCTGAATGTTCTTCGGCACGGCACGGCCCCTCTTCAGGTAGGGATCGATAATTCCACAGTCGTTCGGGGCTTCAGGCGAGGCCCAGTCTGGTGCCGCCAAGCCAGGCGACCGCATGCCGATTTATGGCACATGATTTGGAATGCGATTGAAGACTCGTTCTCGGGGGAGGGGGACCTCGTCGTCGTCAAGGTCAAAGCGCATTCCAAAAAGGCTTATGCCAAGCAGCTCGAGGGACTCGAGCTTTGCAACTACCTCGGGAATCAATGCGCCGACCTTCAAGCGAAGGAGGGCGCCAAGCTTGACGCCATCCCGCCGCATGTCCGTGACACGTGGGTGTCTAGGTCAAAGAAGTAAGTGCTGTTCTTGGGCTTGTCGGTGACATGACTTGTAAGATAGGCACGTTTGATGACACTACTGGCCGCCTTCAGAATGCCTCCCAGCCCCCTGGCCCTCGGCCGCGCCGTGCGGTGCTGCCTCCTCCTGAGTCTCGTCACGTCCTGGAGTGGGATCGGGGGTCTTGGAGGTGTGTGAATTGCGCCAGACGGGCCCACAGCTATAAGGCCAAGCTGGTGTTGTCTCGTAAGTTTTGTAGGAAGGGTTTCTCCTCCCACGGTAAGTGGAAGGAAATAGCACGTGTCGACGGGGCTCCTTTGCAGGGGCCAAGGCGACACAAGCTGTCTCGGATAGGCCACTATACTTTCTGTCGTAAGTGCGGCGCCTTTTTGAGCGCCAGGGCTTGTGGTCTACTTACAGGATGTCCTAAGGACCCGAGGGATCACAACGCCAAGACTCGGCGTAATCGATTGCTGGCAGGTAAGCATCCTTATAAGAAAGAAAGACTGCCTGGAGAGGTGGTCGCGCTGTCAAGGACCCAGGAATTTGAGTTTCTTGAGTCGATTGGGATTGCTGCCAGAGCTTCTTCCTCCGCCGCTGGAAGCGGCGTAGAGGCCCAGTCTTCCTCCGCCGCCTCAGGCGGCGCGGAGGTCTAACCAGGTCTGTCGCAGGTGGACGCGAGGTGCTCGCCCACGCTGTGCTCGCGGGAAACCCCCTCCTCCCCCTCCTAGTATTCTTCTTCTTCTTCCTCCTCCTCCTCCTCCTGCTCCTCCTCCTCCTCCTTCTTCCTCCTCCTTCTTCCTCCTCCTCCTTCTTCCTCCTCCTCCTCCTCCTCCCCCCCCCCGCCACCGCAGGGCGCCGGCTCCCGCAACCGCCGCGGCGCCCGAGCCAGCTCCAGGGATGCGGGCCGCTGCGCCACGTGGGCGAAGGCCCTCGGCGCGCGCTCTGCCAGCTTGGCAGGCCGTCGGTCGTAGGTCGGTTGCCGGTCGCCAGTCGCCGTCCTCGTCGCCTGGCATCGCTCGGACGTGTGCAGTTTCCCTTCGGCGAGGACCATGGAGGAGCATCCTCTATCATTTGGCGAAAACCACGCACGAAACCGAACAAAAACACAGGGAATGGACGTCCACGCGATGGCGAGCGTCGTTTTCTGTCGGTGGGTCCTCGGTCGGTGGGTCGTCGGTCGGTGGGTCGCCGTCGTCTTTCGTCGTCGTCGACTTTTGTCGTCGTCGTCGTCTTTTGTCGTCGTCGTCGCGGGCGTCGCCGTCGCCGTCGCCGTCGTCGTCGCCGTCGCCGTCGTCGTCGCCGTCGCCGTCGCCGTCGCTGCCGCCGTCATCGTCGTCGTCCTCGTCGTCGTCGCTGCCGCCGCCGTCGTCGTCGTCGTCGTCGTCGTCGTCGTCGTCGTCGTCGTCGTTTTTCGTCGTCGTCATCTTCCGTCGTCGTCGTCGGCGTCGCCGTCGCCGTCGGCGTCGGCGTCGGCGTCGTCGGCGTCGGCGTCGGCGCCGTCGCCGTCGCTGTCGTTGTCGTCGTCGTCGTCGTCTCCGCCGTCGTCGTCGCACTCCCTCCTCCCTTCTCCTTGGCATCGCTCGGACGTGTGCGTTTTTCTCGGCCAGGCCAGCGCCAGAGAATCTGGAACATCTTGGAGCATCTCGGATCACCCTGGGCCACCTTGAGGACAGAGCACTCACCTCGCGAAACCGAACAACGCACGGGGAATCGACGTACCGGTGACGGCAAGGCTCTCTTTGTTCACCGTCGTTGGCGGTGTCCTTGTCGGTCGTCGTCGTCGCGGTCCGACCGTCGGTCGTCGTCCTGCCTCCGACTGGTTCCTCCTGCTCTTCGTCGTCGTCCTCCCCCTGTTCCTCCATTCCTCTCCCCTCCCCGACACCACCAGATGTGTCGAAACGATGTGTGTCAGTGGGGTGGGCTTGGCGTTTCGCACGAGACTTCTTTCCTGTAGAGTACGTTGGAGCTTGAAGGTCCCAGCAGTTGCACGGATAGAGGGCAAATCGCTTCGAAAACGCGGTTATCGTTTTAGCGCCGCGCACGTTCGTCTGGAAGTTATGGACTTTGTATACGTATAGATGGCGATTCAGTTTCAAATAATTGTTGTGTCTTTCAAACCGCACGCATGCGTCTTCTACGTTTGGAAGTGTGGTTCTCGTTTCAGTCCCGCGCGCATTCGTCTTACCCAAGTTTGCAACACTTGTGCTGGGGGGGGTCCCTTTTCAAAATGGGCCTCTTGTTTAAGACCCTCCTAATCTTAGGACCAGAAAATCTAACTGCGCAACAACTAAACGGATGGACGGCGGTTCGTTGCAAAAATGTTAGTTCCAGATCTCAGAAACCCATAGTTGTTAACTGCACGAATGGTTGGCGGTTCCTCAAACGGGTTTCCCACTGGACATGTCGTATCCCCATGCTTTCTAGGCATAAGGATGAGATGCGGATCCTTTTCCAAATTGGGCTCTCACCTGAATTATAGGCCCAGGAGGCGTTCGCCTTTCAGGGGGACGCTTCCTGTACCAGGAGCGAGGCACCGCGGTAACTACCCGTGTGGGCTTCGATTGAGCGCATTCAGTGAGCGTTCGTGACATGAGGCGGTCTTGTGAATTGGGCGGGGCGTATTCATTCACTTACGTGGCTCGGCACAGAGGCCGCCTGGGCGGGCCCCGCCCTCTCCGGCCGCCTGAGGCCCCGCCCGCCTGTGCCTTGTCTCCCTAATTAGAGCTGTGCGTAGCCCGCCTAGCTTTTAGCGGAAGAGGTTCGCTCTCGCCCCGCCGACCAAAAAAGCCTCGGCACAGACTGGGCCTCCTTTCTGTTTGGGCAAGAGGGACCTTGGACGGGATGGTCCATGACCGCACCGTTTGTGCATCTTTGGCCTGTTTTGGCCCTGCTCCTCCTCCTCCTCCTCCTCCTCCTCCTCCTCCTCCTACTACTACTACTACTACTACTACTACTACTACTACTACTACTACTACGACTACGACTACGACTACGACTACGACTACGACTATACTACTTATACTACTATAACTACTAGCTACTACTACTACTACTACTACGACTACTTTACTACTACTACTACTACTACCACTTCTTCTTTTACTTTCTACTACTACCTACTCTAACTCTACTACTATACTTCTTACTACTAATACTAATACGATACTACACTACTACTACTACTTCTTACTAATACTACTCTACTACTACTACATACTACTTCTACTACGACTCACTACTACTATTACTACGACTACTACTTTTTACTACTACTACTACTCTATACATACTACTATTACTACTATACTACTACTAACTACTACTACGACTACTACGACTACTACTACTAACTACTACTACTTACTACTACTTCTGACTACTACTGATCTTACTACTACTTACTACTACTTACTACTACTAATACTACTACTACTACTATACTACTACTTTACTATACTACTACTTACTCTTACTAACTACTACTACTTACTCTACTACGTACTACTACTACTTCTTTACTACACTTCTATACTACTACTACTACTACTACTACTACTACTACTACTACTACTACTACTACTACTACTACTACTCTTATCCTTATTCCTTATTAGAATATACTCCTACTCCCCCCTCAGGCCGGCAGATAGCGGGCGCATCCGGGTGGTCCCATCCTAACCTGTAAAAAACAATACAAAATCAACATTTTTCTTATTTTTTCCTCTCGACATGGACGTCCTGTCGTCCACGGCGATAATCCATTGCAAAAAATACCACAAAGAGCACACGCGCGCGTTCATGTCAGAATCCTACCGAACACCGTGTGTTTGCAAGCATTTCAACATACAAACATCAAAAACCCAATGCTTTTTCACAAAAATTGTACAAATGTCCCGCCCGGGCTCTCTTGCTGAAATCATAGGAAAACCATAGGAATCTTAAGAATTCTGTCAAATCCAGCGATTTCACGTCATCGCGCGGTGCACTCGCGATGCTCTGTCATGCACCCAGGCCGCGAATCCTGTGCAAAAAATACCACAAAGAGCACACTCGCGCGTTCATGTCAGAATCCTACCGAACACCGTGTGTTTGCAAGCATTTCAACATAAAAACATCAAAAACCCAATGCTTTTTCACAAAAATGCTTTGGGGTGTCCTGTCAGACCGTCGGGCTTCCTCCGGCCACCTCTGGCTTCCTGCGGTGTACCGGGCCATTCTCGACTCGTCTGGCAATGCGTGCGCGGCATTCAACACGCGCTCGCCAGTTCCCGTCGGCAACCGCCATCGCGGCCGCATCAGCTGTACCAAACCGGCTGGCCGGTGTGACTTCGGCCCCCAGTTGTGCCAGCTTTGCTTCTTATGTTGTGGGAGGGCGGGTGGGACTGGGCATGCCATGCTTGACTCGCTCGAGCTGGCTAGCTTGACTACTACTACTACTACTACTACTACTACTACTACTACTACTACTACTACTACTACTACTACTACTACTACTACTACTACTACTACTACTACTACTACTACTACTACTACTACTACTACTACTACTACTACTACTACTACTACTACTACTACTACTACTACTACTACTACTACTACTACTACTACTACTACTACTACTACTACTACTACTACTACTACTACTACTACTACTACTACTACTACTACTACTACTACTACTACTACTACTACTACTGCTACTCTCTCCTCCTCCCCGTGCGCGTGGAGGAGGAGGAGGGGCAGGAGGAGGAGGAGGAGGAGGAGAAGACCGGCTGCCTGCTCAGCTACTCCGGGCCCACATGGGCTCTTCATTTTCTAACATGTCTTTCGGTTTCTGCGACGTCCGCGCTGGCAGCAGCCGTAATCTGTCACATGTTCCAAAGTCGGCGCATATTTTTTCAAGGAACGCAGCAAGCCTGGCCTTGTTGTCGGCCCAACGTAAAAAACAGGAGGACATGTGTAATCACAAAACGCATCAGCGATGTTGCAATACACCCCCCAGCCAAGTTTCCACTTCATAGGTCCGTATTAAGAAATTCAGATTCGTATGGGAAGTGTCCCAGGGGACAACCGTCTGAGAGTCCTCGACCGTACCAAAACATTATACCTGGGACTTCAACAACTCAAATCATCGCATATCATGGTGGCTGGTGCGTCCTGACATTACTAAATCGCGCCAGAACACTATTCTGGGGATTTCAATGCCTCGAATCCATGTGACGGTTGCTTCTAGACAATCCTCAATTGCGCCAAAACGCAATCCCAGGGGCTTCAATCGTACGAATATTTAGATTGCTTCAAATTCTTAAGACGAGTTTGCGCGGCGCTAAGCCAACAACCACATTTTGAATAGACGCCCTCCATCCTTGAAACTGTCACAGCTTGTCCCATCCTGTGGTGTTGGGTGCTCGTTTTGAAAAAGACATCGTCCCGCGTCCTTCCTCTTCTCCTCCCTCCTCCCATACCTGCCTCTGCCCTCCGCATGCAAGTTCAGCAAACCCACATGTTTCATGGCCCCATAAAAAATCAGCCGAAGGCCCCAGCGGCAGCGTCCGCTTGGCGCACCCGCTCCCAACTCGGCACACCCCTCAAACGTTTCGTGGCCCCACAGGGAGCTCCAGCGAGGGCCCAACAGCAGCTTCCGCATGGCGTACCCGCCCCCGATTCTGCACACGGCACACGCTGTTTCTTCACAGGGAGCTCCACCAGAGGCCTCAGCGGCAGAGTCCGCATGGCGAACCCGCACCCAATTCGGCACACCGTCTCACACGCTCCCTGGCCCCACAGCTCCACCGAAGGCCCAGCGGCAGCGTCCGCGTGGCGTGCCCGCATCATATTCGGCACACCCCTCATACGTTTTTTAGATCCCCTAGGAATTTCCACCGAAAGCCTCAGCGGAAGCGTCCGCATGGCGTACCCGTGCTTG